TGGTATCTGTCTTTCTCTGTATGGCTTATTTCACTTAGCATCACACTCTCCAGTTCCATCCACGTTGCTACAAAGGGCCATATTTCATTCTTTCTCATTGCCACATAGTACTCCATTGTGTATATAAACCACAATTTCTTTATCCATTCATCAGTTGATGGACATTTAGGCTCTTTCCATAATTTGGCTATTGTTGAGAGTGCTGCTATAAACATTGGGGTACAAGTGCCCCTATGCATCAGTACTCCTTTGCTTACCTTATTTAAAAACAAAACAATCTCTAATCCCTATAAGGACTTATCTGCTTATTGACCTGAGAGACTCCTTAGGCTTATTTGGAATAAGCATGTTAACTAACCTGTGAGATGGTGTCTAATTCCCCCCTGGGAAATTTGTGAATTTTTTGATCCCATATTGTAGTTAAAACTGTGAACATCTGTAATGTGCAGGATTGTGCTAGATGTGTTTTGGGACCACTTGAATTAAAATTACTCATCTAGTACATTTAGTAAGTCTATCAATATTTATGGACAAACTTTCTTTGGTGGATTTTGGAAATATGGCCTTATTGTGTTAGGGAGTTGAGGATTGGTGACAGGAATGATATACAAAGAGGGGGAAATGAATAGTGATTAAATTAGTAATGTTTCTGGGGAAATGATAGTTTTGATATTTATGGAGTTTGGTTTTATTACTGTATCATGGTGAAATAGCCAACTGATTTTATAAAGAAACAAAATGGAGACTTTTAGTTTTCGAGGGTTTCTGTAACAAAGTACTAAAACTTACGTGGCTTAAAACGATAGAAATTTATTGTCTTCTATTTCCAGAGGCTATGAGTCTGAAATCAAAATATCATCAGGGTCATGTTCCCTGGCTCTAATAGAGAATCCTTGTTTCCTTCAGCTTCTAGTGTTTGCCAGCAATCCATTGTTAAGTTCCTTGGCTTGTAGGTGCATTGCTCCATTCAGGTGGCTGCCTCCACATCTTCCTTCTGTGTTTGTTTCTGTGTTCCAAATTTAAACTTTTTTTTTTTTTTAATTTTTTTTTCAACGTTTATTTATTTTTGGGACAGAGAGAGACAGAGCATGAACGGGGGAGGGGCAGAGAGAGAGGGAGACACAGAATCGGAAACAGGCTCCAGGCTACGAGCCATCAGCCCAGAGCCTGACGCGGGGCTCGAACTCACGGACCGCGAGATCGTGACCTGGCTGAAGTCGGACGCCTAACCGACTGCGCCACCCAGGCGCCCCCAAATTTAAACTTTTTATGAGGATGTCAATTACAGTGGTTTAGGGCCCACTCATATGACCTAATTTTAATTGATTACTTCTATAAAGATCCTGTTTCCAAATAAAGTCACATACTGAGATATTTGGGATTAGGACTTCCGCAAATTGGGGAGGTGGGCAAGGTCTCTACCAAAATATGGGTAAGTTGCAAGATAATTTATTCACTATTCATCCTGGAAGACTTTTTATGATACAACTTGACAACCTTTACAAATAGAATTAGAGAACTTTAGGCAAGTGGAATACCATGAACAATAATTGTAATTATTCTTCAATTTTTTTTTGATTAAAAAAAAATTACAGTGCTTCAGAAACATAAAATTTTTAACTTAATGTCTTTATGAACACAAGATCATAAAACCTCTTACTTTCAAAATTCACCTTCCTTTCTTACAGTGGATTCAGATACTGTTAATTAAAATAAATAAGACCTGGTGAGAAATCTAGAGTTTTTCTGCCTGGGTGTTGAAGTCACAGAAGCAATGGTACATTCTTGGTTTCAGTGGCTATCTGTCTTCCTGATAGGTAATACAGAATGATTCTTAAGAATTTATTGAGGTCCTGAGAAGATGCTGACATCAGAGGCCATAAAGTAGTAGGAATGGTTTTAAGTTCACTAAATTGCATTGCTATGAATTTTGTTTTAATAATTTGGCTAGGACATTTGAGTAACTAAAGATGTAGAAAGATCAAATTTTGAGAGAAGCATTTTAATCTTTTTTATTCTTTTTTTCTAGTTGGAAAATGGATATACTTTATTTGACTATGATGTTGGACTGAATGACATAATTCAGCTACTAGTTCGCCCAGACCCTGATCTTCCTAGCACATCTAAACAGACTGATGTACAGGCCAAGCCCTGTTCTAATAGCCCACCTAAAGTAAAGAAAACCCCAAGGGTGGGACTTTCTGGTCAGCCGTCTACATCAACTTGTGATTTTCTTATTGATCCTGGCATTGGGCTATATAAGGTATGTTGTCTTCTTTAGACTTCATAGTTGTGAGAATACAGATGTCTGTTCTCTTTAGAATGTTTCAAATGGCAATCAATCTTATTTGCAAGTAAAGACTGAGCTGTTGATACTTTAAATTTTAAAAGTAGTCTTTAAAAATTGTGAAGTATATAGATAAATGTATATAAAATGTATAAGTACAGTTTAAAGAATATAAAACAAAAACCTGTGTAATTGCAGTGAGGTTAAGTAGAATAATGCCAGTTTTTTTAAAGCCTTCTGTGTGCCTCTCCCAGAACATATCTCCCTCTTATCTGAAGAGGTAAACTATCATGATCGTTTTGTTTTTCTTTAGTGTTACTACTTATGTTATCTCTAAAAAAATGATTTGCTTTGCCTATATTTGAAGTCTGTCTAATGGAATTCTACTTTTTCACAGCTTTGATTCTCATGCATATAATTGTATTTTACTTTTCATGATTACATTATTCTATTAACATGCTACAGTATATTTAATCCTTGATTAATAGATACATTTGGGCTTTTCCCAGTTTCAGCTATTTTGAACTTTTGTGTATCTAGGTGCACATGTTCTAGAATTTCATTTAGGAATTTTTGTCTAGAAATAGTGCTCATTCACTCACAGGATGCTGCATAACTGCTGTCTACTGTGTTCCATTGGTCTGCTTGTGTATTTCTGTGCTTATACTATTCTAAGTACTAGTAGCCTAGTAGACTGTTACCTCCCTACCCCCCATCTCCCAGATCTATTCCTATTCAAGGGTGTCTTGCTTAACACTTGCATGTAAGAATTTTAAAATTAGTTTGCCAAAACTCTGCAGATAAATAATATGGGATTTTGATGGGAACTGAATCTATAGAGTAACTTGGAGAATTGACCTTCATTCTTGAACATAATGTCTCCATCAACTTCGATCTTTACCTCATTATCAGTTTTCTCTATATATCTTATTCTAGTAGCTGCATTTTTAAATGCTATTATAAATGGTTATCTTTTAAAATTGTGATTTGTTTGCATACATATGGAAGTGCAATTGATACTATTTATTGACCCTTGTATCTACCAACTTTTTCAAATTCTAATAAATTTTGTAGAAATAATTGACAGTTTTGCTTCATCCTTTTCTATCCTTAAAACTATTTTTCTTCATTCATACTGGTTGGGACAAATTGGGACCTAGACTCAATTTTTTAGAGCATTTTTAAAGCGAAAATTTAAAAAATTGGTAGCTGAAATAAATTATTTAAGAAAATGCAAATAGAGATAATTTTTGATCTAAGGAGAAATGCAGAAAGTCCATATGTATATAGAATCAAGAAAACCCACCAAGACCTATATCTCCAAAGTACCTGGTCTAGATGGCTACACTGATAAATTACCTTAAACCTCTGTTGTATTATCTAAATTGACCCACATCTTAAAAAAAAGGAAAGCTTCCAGTTGCTTTTTAAATTTAATATAATACTGATGCTAAAACATGACAAAAAGGACACCAGTATCACTACATATTGATGTAAAACCTAACTTATATTTAGCAAATAAAATTATGATTATATGTTAAAAGAACATAATACCTTGACCAAGTATGGTTTGTCAAGAAGTGGGATAGTTCATTATTTGGATTTTTTTTTTTTTAATAGAAGTTTCAAGTATATAGCTTTATAGTTTGCCACCTAAAATTCAGGTGTACAGCTTTATAATTTGATAACACTACAAGGTGATCACCAGAGTCTAGTTACCTTCTGTTACCACACAGTTGACTCCCTTCACCCATTTCACCCAACCCGCAATATAGTAATATAATTCATCATATTAATAAATAAGTGATCTAATCTTAAAAGGGGGGGTCCATTTCTAAATTTTAAAAAATCCTTGGTAAGTGAAACAAGGGGAGTGGATGAATATTTTAAACCATACTTCATATAATAGTGGGGGAAAAGCCAGAAGCCTTCCCATTAAAGACAGGAGCCACAGAAGTCAGTTAATGCTGTTACTTAACGTCTTTCTAGATGATGCAGATAGGCAGGAGAACAACAAAGTGTAAATATTGAAGACAAAGTTATTTATGGATATATGGAAAGACGAAGATAAACCTATTAGAATGATGTGAACTCTTTAAATACTAATAGCTTTCCTTGTTACCATCATTTAGTAAAAGAAAAAAAACTTACAATAAGAAAATGTAAAGTCTGGGAATATTAACATGATATGAGGAAGACATATCAATTAAAACTTTTATGGGGGTGCCTGGGTGGCTCAGTCGGTTAAGCATCCAACTTCAGCTCAGGTCATGATCTCACAGCTTGTGAGTTCAAGCCCCGCGTCAGGCTCTGTGCTGACAGCTCAGAGCCTGGAGCCTGCTTCGGATTCTGTGTCCCTCTCGTTCAGCCCCTCACCTGCTTATGCTCTGTCTCTCTCTTTCTAAAAATAAATAAAACATTAAAATAAATTAAAAAAAAAACTTTTATGTAGTACTCAAAATTTAGACAGAATTATTAATATTGAAAGTCCCCTTTTGGAGATTTCATCCCTCTGAGTAACCAGTATTTTCTATGTTTTTTTCTAAATAAATTTGTTATTTTAGGACAATTTTAGATTTATAGCATAATTGGGAAGATAGTAGAATTTTCCATATATTACACACCTGGTTTGCCCTGTTAACTTTAGCATTTTACATTAATGATACTATGGTACATTAGTTATAATTAATGAACCCTGTCTCCTTAGCTTTTATCTAATGTCCTTTTTCTATTCCAGAATCCCATCTAGGGTAGCATATTTACATTAGTGCGATAGAAAATGGTTGTTGAATTTCCTTAGGTTCCTCTTGGCTGTGACAGTTTTTCAGACTTTTCTTTTTGATGACCTTGACAGTTTTGAGGAGTACTGGTCAGATACTTTGTAAAATACCCTTCTATTAGTATTCATCTTGTTTTCCTCATCATTAGACTGGATTTACATATTTTTGGAGGAAGACCATAGAAGTATAGTGCTATTTTCATCACATCCTATGTAGGGCACAAGCTATCAGCATTCCATTTGCTAATTATAGCTTGGGTTTTTACATCAGTAGTTAAGTTATCCCTGTTGCTATGAACCTTAATTACCTGGCTGAGGTAACATTTGTCAAGTTTCTTCACTGTGAAGTTATTCTTCCCCTACCCCTTTTTCCATGCTGTAGTCTTTGAGGTGAAGTCCCTACCTGTAGCCCAAATTTAAGGAGGGAGTTATGAACTCTACTTCATGAAGGGTAGATTACCTACAAAATGTATTGGGAATTCTACATGAGAGACTGATCTCTTTTCCCCCATTTATTTTTTGTTAGTCATTTATTCACATCAGTAGGGATATTTTTTTCCACATATCCCTTCAGTATACCTCCATTTTTGTGGGTTTTTTTGTTTTTGTTAAAGCACCTTCTTTCTGGCCCTAGAAGTTGCTCCAGGCTCATCTTAGTTATTTCTGCCCCAGCCCTGGAATCAACCATTTCCTTAAGGAGCCTTGATTCTTTAATTGGGGAATGGTATTAGAAACCAAGATCTGGGGACTAGGTATGCTTCTTGCTACTGGAGTATCATTGCTCTTATTACCCTTAGATGCCAGACTAAGGAGGTTTGTGTATGTATGTATAATTCCTGTATATCCATATATCCATAAATATGTATGTAGCCATCTGTATCTATGTTAAGTTTACATTTTGACTTTTTGGCTAAGGGTAACAGTTGAGAAGCTGCTACATTTGACTTGATAGATTTTGGGCAGTGAAGGTATAGAATTTATTTTCATAGGAGGGCCAGCTTATGTATTGTCCAGGTTAAGCTGTCTAGTCAACTTAAATTCTTTCTGTTTAGCATATTTCTCAGTACCGTTCCATGTCTCCAACCAAATTCAGAAGACCATTATGAGAAACTGCTTTTCTCAGCAGATCTATGCATTTCATTTTCAGTATTACTACTTTGCCCACTATTTCTAGCACCTAACTTTTTTTAATACATTTTTTTTCTTTTTCTTCTTTTCTTTTTCTTTTTCTTTTTTTTATTTTTTATTTTTTTATTTAAAAAAAAAAATTTTTTTTTTTCAACGTTTATTTATTTTTGGGACAGAGAGAGACAGAGCATGAACGGGCGAGGGGCAGAGAGAGAGGGAGACACAGAATCGGAAACAGGCTCCAAGCTCTGAGCCATCAGCCCAGAGCCCGACGCGGGGCTCGAACTCACGGACCGCGAGATCGTGACCTGGCTGAAGTCGGACGCTTAACCGACTGCGCCACCCAGGCGCCCCTTTTTTTCTTTTTAAAGAGGATTTTATGTATAGGACACAGGAGTATTTTTTGTCTGTTTTTTTTTTTTTTTAAAGCTTTACATCCAGTGTGGGGCTTGAGTAATGGCCCTGAGATCAAGAGTCATATGCTCTACTGACTTGAGCTGGTCAATCACCCCTCATGTACCTAACTTTTTAAACAACTCTTATATTTCATGTTAATATATAGCGTAGAGATTAAGGTATTCAGTTTTGTCATCAGACTTGCTTTCAAATTCTAGTTCAGCTGCTTCCCAGTGGTACAAATGTGGCAAGTTTTACATGGTCTCCCTTTCCTCATTTAGGAAACACATGAAACACACATGCAAGCTGGAACTTAAACTCTCAAAAGGCTGTTATTTGTAATGTTTAGTCAAAGCTGCATTTAACTTACTAGTTGAAGAGAGTAACAGATTTATTTGCTTTTTTCATTAAGCTTAGTAATTGTCATAGGTATTTGAAATTTTCACTGATTTTTTTTTTTTTTTTTTGACGTAGAAGTGCTTATTTCTGGGTAATTCATTCATCGAATAAATGGTTATCTAGTATATATTTGTACTAGATATTAGAGATGCAAGGATAAACAAATGATATTGCCCCCTGTTTTCATGGAATGTTGTTAGCTATTAAAACTTTATCTTTGGCTAACCTGAAAACTCTTAGAAGCTGCTACCTTTAAATTGGTTTGTTTTGAATA